TATCAAATAAACAACGATCACTTAAATCTGGTGCCTGAAGCCAACCACACAATGCTCTCCATCAGGAGGATTAAGCACCTAAGAAGCTATGCTTAGGAAGAGCCTTCCTACACCTTTTAAACCCCACCCACACAAACGAACAAAAGCAGTCAGTGCCCAGTTTGCTGCACCATGACAGGATACTGTAATAAGCATACCAGTTTATAATAGAAAGATGACAGATGAGGATAGATTCGACAGATGATAGATAGTTAGATACGTGGATAGATAGGTACATAGATAGACGGATGGATGGATGAATGGATGGATATATAGATAGGCAGATTTACACATGGAGAGAGACAGAGAGAGAGAGATTTAAACCACACAAGACATTTAAAATTAGGAATGCTGGAAGGGTTATGTACCATTGGCTTTGGAGATGCTTTTGGCATTAAAACACATCTTTTACACTTTGGTTCTACAGACAGGATGAATCAACGAAGAGCCAAAACTAGAGAAACAGCAGCATTTTGAAAGTCTTCACCTCTAGATCTCTTCTAACCAGAATCCAACTAGTACCTTCTTTAGCACTAACATACTTTTGAAAAGAATATCCCTTTGTTATTGCGATGTCACCGAAGTCATTGCCTTCCTTTCCTTCAAGGTATTCTAAATATTGCACCAGGCTGACATTTTAAAAATACAAGTAGTCATTATAAGTCTGCTCAAAATCTTCCAAGTACTTTTACACGGGGTAAGATGGAAAACCACAAGCCTCATGTTGACTTATGAGTTCCTACCAAATTTGGCCCCAGTACCTGCTAATCTCATCTCAGCACTATTTTCTTTTTAAAATATCATTAACCATCTCTTTGAGGTCATTTTATTATATAAAATTTGAAACTTAAAAAGATTCACTCATGAAAGAGAATAAACTGTCAAAGTAAAACTCACATGGTCCATCAGACTATTTCATTATTCAATTCAGTTTATAGGGATAGACCATACTTTAGAACACAGATTTAAAAATTATTTTAAACTTAAACCATTATTTAACTTAAATTATTTTAAACTTAAACCATTTGTGTTAACATGCCAAGCCATATCACTATAGGATACCAGCTGCTCATTAGCATAACACCAAATGCCACTGCTCCTCCATTGATTGTAAATGTGGACCATAATGATCATGTGCCACTTAGATAAAAAATATTAAAATATCAATATGTTATATTAAGTTATTATTGCCTAAGAGGCAACCATAATCTTTACAGCACCCTCTAAGAAAATGCTGGAAAGACTATTAGTGATCATTCACTACAATTTTGTCAGGTTCCCTCCTCCCATTTTTCATGTTACAGATGCATAAAGCAGTTCACACAGAATAAATCTCCGTCAGACATAGAGCTAGATCCCTTTGCACCCCAGATCGATATTACTCTCCCACCATACCATGATCTAAAATCATGGTATCATGAAAATAAAACTATATCTGTGTTCATTTAGTAACATTTACATTTTGTCAGGCAATTCAGATGCTCAAGGCTGACAATGGAATACATGATATAAATACAGAATTAAAACTCAATATGATTACAATAAGAAAAAAAGATCAGCATAAACTGAGAAAAAAAGATAACCAAGGATTCTACTTTAGAGTGCATGGTCAGGAAAGACCTGTCAAAATAATAATATTTTAGATTTTAGGAGTTCCAATTCCACAACTTAGATTTATTAAATGCACTAATATTAAATATTTTAAGTTTATTGAATATTCATCAAGAATCAATGAATGTGTTCACCTTCGGTTCCTGTTATATAGTTCCTAGTGTCAACAAGAATAATTTGTTGATTTTGATATGAGATAGTTTACGTTTTGTAACAACTTAGTCTACAGAGATAACAGCATAAGGTATTTAGAATTACATTTTCCAAAGTATCAAAAATAAAAATAACTTACAGATATTTGAATACTTTTGTCTTCAGGAGTTAAGGAGGTTAACTAACCAATTATCCCTGCACAGATATTAAAATAAAACATAAACTTTCTTTTATAGATTATTTAAATATACTATTCCAATTATTTTATATATTTGAGAAATATTGAGCTTCAATAGTCTCCAATTCTAAAATAGTTATTTCAAGTTATCTGAAATAGTTTTTAAAAACTTGATTTCATTCAGCTTTATTTAGAAAATAAAAATAATGTGCTGAACAACACAATAGAAGACAGCAATAGAAAACAACAGTGCTCTTCAATTATTAAAAAGTCAGATTTAAGTATTGAAATGTCTACAACACATGTCCTTTTGAAAGTTGTCTCATTCTTTCACTTATTGATCAGAAAATGAAAGAAATGTTGGTTGTGAAGAAAATCAGAAGAGGAAAATATCTGCAACAGTAACTTAACACCTGTTTTTTCTAAATATGACAGTTATCAGGAAAAACCAGTAACAACTTAGCTTCAAATAAATTAAGAACATTCTTATAGACTTCTACATATGTAAGTATCAACACTGTATCATCTTACCTGACTTTAAAAAAATTCAACCAGAATGTTATCAAGCTAATACAGAACACATAATCTTTATTGAGTAAAATGTTTCAATTTCTAAATAGAATACACAAAAAATACCTATGTATAGGCAAAAACTTTCCTTCCCAAAGGCAGTATTATGATAAACTATTAGACATGTTCCTGTATTAATTGACGTAACTAATACAGAAAAGTACTAATTTAAATTTATTTACTGAGTTCTTACTACTACAGAAAGTTTATTGTACTAGCTATGATGGATTTTAAATTCACACAGACAATTAGAATCCCACGTTAACTACTTCTATGACTTTTGGAAAATTATTTAACATCTTTAAATCTATTATCATCTCTACAATTGGGGGAATAACACCTACTTTATAAAACTATGGAGAACAATTTGGAAGCATATTAAACACCTATAAAGTCACCACTTAATTTCTAATTACTTTTTATCTACTATGTCCTCATGATGAGGTTTGTCTCTGCTAAAAGTGATGTGTACCTGTCATTCATTAACTCATTCAAAATATTTACTGAGAGCTTATTTTATGCCAAGTCGCTAACCTCACTCCCCTCCCACATATATGCTACATGTGTGGGCACAAGAAGAAACACAACATGTACATCCTCAAGAGAGTTTCAGTGGAGAAACAAACATGGAAGCAATGGAGACTACCTTTGGATACAACATGGAAGCAGAAGATGAACTGACTAAAATATGGTAACAGGAAAAGTCAAATAGCATAGGAAGACTATCACAGAACAATTCACTTTGAGCAAAAGGAAACTTGATATTAAGCTTGCAGGATGAAAGGGAATTGTTGAGTGAGTAAAGGTGAAAGAAACATTCCAGATAGAGGAATCTTAAGGTTCAGCAAAGACTTGATGAAATTCTTCCCAGTATTTAGATGTAGCAGGAAACAAACGTAAAGATCCAATTGGAAACAGGATTGTAGGACACACACCATGTAGGAATGTGACCTGTGTTTTTTGATAATATGATATCACTAAAGAATTTTGGGCAGAAAAGTTAAATGATCATCCTCATACTTTGGAAAAATAATTAGTGGCAATATTGAAATGAGATATAGGCAAGTATGGATAAGGAAAAACATGAAAACTACCGCAAAGCTTCAGGTAAGAATGAAATCATAGGAGCCAGCACAATGGCATTGGTAAGTTGAGGGAAGGGAGAATTATTGGAACTGATTGGAAACCTTCATATAAAAAAGGGGAGTCTACAATGGTTTGCAATTTTTCACTTAAATGAGCTGTTCCCACTAAGTTATGATAGTTAATAAAAAATGATCAGGTTTGTAATTACCCAACAAACACAAAATATTCATTTAGATTATAATTATATATAAGATAAAAGGAGCGAATAAATGAATACACAGATTAATGAAGGAATTAATCTCAGTGAAGGCCATTTATATGAAACTTTACTTTTCTGTTCTCTTATCTTGGAACTCAAAATGTATGCTACAGAGAAGAGACAAAAGCGAGTTTTTCAATGTTTTAAGAGAGCAAGTTTTGACAAGATACTTTAATTAAAGAAAATAAGAATAAGTTTGGAAACTGTGCGCATACTAACTATGATGCAACTATTGAGCCAACAAAATGTGCAAAATAGTCAACTTCTTTGCTAATATGAAAACTGTAATAAATATAAGATTGATATAGTAACCAGATAAAAAGAGACAAATAATGTTCATTAAATATTGTTTTATATAAAAATAAAACTTAATTCCCTGTACAGCAGAAGTTTAACACGGATCAAATAAAAACCAAAACATAAGAGAGCTATTGTAACGAAAACACATGGAATTCAATCTAGGAAATAAAGGACTACTGAAGCCCTTAATATTTCAATTTGAAATATCAAAATAATAAAAACAAATAGTCAACAAAGTCTATCAAATAGACTTCATCTACCTTTAAGGACCATCTTCAATTAGCAAACAAAACAACTTGCTCTCTAATTATTAAACACCTTACAAAACAGCTTATAAATTTTAAAAAGCCAATTTTAATAAATAAAATACCTGATTAACAAGGAGTATATTTTAATCAAAATAAGAAAAGTGACTTATTTTATTATAATTTTATATGTGGTTATTAATTTTAAATCATATATCAATTATGTTCATAAAACAAAATAAGTAAAGAGACAATGCAAATGAAACCTAGTGGGAATCTATTTTTTTTCCTTCCTGGATGAGGCACCAGCAACATAAAGCACCCCCATAACTGATGGGCAGGAAGGTCTGAAACTCTTGAGTCTTAAACAGTATGTAGGAAAAAATAAGTTAAGAAAAGTCACCTACACATAATAGGAAAATGAGTAAGTAGTATTTGTTTATCTGAATGTTTACAGTTTTAACATATACATATTCTACAGACTTATTATCTTTTAAGTACAAGATTTAGTTATGTAAAGGAAAAAGTCTGAGAGTAAATCATATTACTCACCAATAAAGATAAAGTTTATCCTCATCAACATTAATGTTATTTAATGGATCCATGTGAAACCAAGTGTGCAGGGTGAAGCCATTCTATAAGGCCACTTTACAATAGGAGGCAATGCAATTGTCTACAAGGCAATGAGAAAAGGTAAGGTCTCAGCTAAAGAAAATATGAAGGCACTAAGGAAAAACCTGGTCTTCACAGATTAAATCAGATAATTTTAAACAACTATAGAAAACAGAAAAAATTATCTTATTTACATAGTCTATTAGATACAGTTTGTTGGCCATACAATTACTACATTTTCAAACAGTAAGTTAAATTTCATTTCTACATTACAGTGGGTTGTAGACTATTCTTTCGAACTTCCCCTCTATGGGCACACAGAAAAGAAAAGAAAACATCCTTCTCCTCTAACTTCATCAATACAAGGTCCCTCATACATATGCCTCAGAATTTTCAATTTTCAATGCTTTATGCTTGTTTACAGAAATATTAAATTTTATTAATGAGGATGAATCTTTGCAGCCCAAAACAACCATGTGAGAGAATATTAATGGAATCAGTATTGGAATACAAGTGTTATTCACAATATTTGTAATGCTTACGACACTACAACAAGGAGGGGAAAGGATGGGATTTGTTCTTCAGAAACTTTACCATTGAAATCTATGGCTAAAAAAAAGTATTGAGATTCATTTACAGCAAGAAAAGCAATAACTTAGGACTTATATAATAACAGCAAAATGAAATCTAGCCATTCTAAGGAATGAGAAAAATGACTGATTACTTGACTTGCTTGATTTATTTTCCTAGAAGATATTTAAATTCCTTCAATAAAAGATGCCCAGTATGATATGACAATTGGCCTTTTCTCCAAATACATACTTAATATCATTAATAATGACCTTTCTAAAATATAACAAGGAGCTTACATAATAAAAATCCTCTGCAGTGCTGAGGTATAGCTCAAGTGTAGAGGATGTACCTAGGAACCAAAAACCCTAAGTTCAAATCCCAATACTGCCCCAAATCCCCAAATCCTCTGCATACAGTATAAAGTTGAAATTTCTTCAGATTCTACAAGCTGCTTTATACACACTACAACTCCAAGAAACAATTTCAGTTTTAATCTCTTCTACTACCTTATCCCATACTCCCAAAACCAGTGAAATATACCACCTGTTCCACTTGATGTTTTCAGCTCCCCTTTTAGGACATAATGTTGCTTCTGCTCAAAACACCCTCCCTTCCAGGAAAATCCCATCATTCTTCAATACCAAGCTAAAATGCCCTCATCTGTCAAGTTTTCCTGAACATCAACCTAGTGTGGTTTCTCTTTTTCATTATTTTCCCATGAGTCTTAGTACCTATATCTATAATATCACTTAGACCTCCTTATTACAGCAAGGCTATTGTTTTTATCTATCCATTATAGTTTTTCAAAAGAAATAAGTATGCTCTATATTATCAGCCTCATAACTTAAAGGTATAGAAAAGAAATCTGGTCAATAAATGTTCTTAAAGTGGCCAAAGATTTATAAGTATTTGCTATTTTTAAAGATATACAGATATATGGTAATTCAAATAAGCTAATTCTACAAATGAATATTGCCCATACAGTATCCTTTCAGATGTTAATGTTTCAGCAATTGATTCAGGCAGCTTTATTGCCAAGAATACAGCCTTTCTTGACTTTTTACAAAGGAAAAATATTTTACTTAATTATTTTGTTAACTAGTAAAATGGGGGAGGGAGTTGCCAAGTTTCCCAATAGTTAACACCTCCATAGTTTCTCTAAAGCAGAATGTACTTGATTTTAGCTACACCTGAGCATTAAGATGAACAGGAGAAACACTGGGAACATAGAGTAATAAAGTGAGTGTATGGAATCGTATACATCACCTAACATATATGATAACTTCTTCACATGCGAGATACTGTAATCCTAACTACTTTGGAGTCTGACACTGGGGGGATTGTGGTTCCAGGTCAGCCTGAGCAAAGAAAGGTGTATGATAGCCCATCTCAACAGAAAAAAACTGGATGTGGTACACCTGTCATCCCAGCTACATGGAGAAGCAAGAAATAGGATTGTGTTCCAAATTGGCCTGGCAAGAAGCAAAACCCCATCACCAAAATAATCAGAGCAAAGATGGATGAAGATGTAGCTCTGGTAGCAGAGCTACCTGCCTAGCATGCATAAGTTTAAACCTCAGTACTGTTGTTCCTCCATCCCATCAAAAAAAAGATTTGTGGATTTCAATCTTGTTGCCAGGAACAGCATAACCAACGGCCCTTTTGCATCACAAAAGTGATTGGTTACAGCACTATCACTGGGGTGTTCAAAAGATTTCCCTTTCCCCCATTGATCTAAATTCCCATTTAATTCATTAAAAACACCCACTTGCCTTGAAAGTGCATTATCGGTTACATTGTATGAGGGTAGGCCAAAATTACACATAAAATAGTGCATTAAACAAAGAAATAGAGAAAACACCCTTCAAGTTTTATGGTGAAAACTAAACAAATATAGAAAACTAAATAAAGGGAAAGATAGCATTCAATAACATTAAGATGGTCTGTTCTCTACAAAATGGTCTGGTCACTTAATACAATACAATCAAAACAACAACAGTATTATTTTTCTAACTGATGGTACTAGGGTTTGGACTCAAGAGCCTTGCACTTGCTAAAAAGGCACTCTACTGCTTAAGCCTCACCCCAGCCCATTTTCCTTTGGTTATTTTTGAGATTGGGTCTCAAGTTTACACCTGGGAGAGCCTGGACCATATTTCTTCTGGTTTGGGCAGGAATGCATAGCTAGAATGACAGACACATGCCACCATGGCAGTATTTATTGGTTGAAATGTGGTTTAGCAATCTTTTCTCCTGGTCAGGTCTTGAATTGTGATCTTCATACTTACTGCCTCCCAAGTAGCTAAGATTACTGGGGTGAGCCACAGCACCCCAGTAATTTATTCAAAAATGTATACACAAATGCAAATATTCTAGACAAGCCAAAACTATTTTAAATATGAAAAACAAAGGTGAAGGATTTATACCACCTGACGTTAAGAAGTACTAACTACACAGCCATGATAATAAAGAAAATGTGACATTAACATAAGTACTGAAATGTAGGGCCAAGGGTACAAACTAGAGAATTCAGAGATAGATCCACCAAACTATGGACAATTAATTTTCAAGAAAGCTGTCAAGTAATCCCAAATGAAAGGGATTGTCTCTTCACCAAATGATGCAATGAATGGATATGCAAACAAATAAAATGTAATTCCAACTTTGCCTCACATCATATGAAAAATTAATACAAAAGTCAATAGAAAATACAAATAAAAAACTAAAGTGACATACCATTGCATAACCATTAAAATGCCTCAAATTAATACTGGCTAGGATGCAAATCAACTGAGAGACTCACACTGCTGTCGGAAATGTAAAATTTTACTCTGTGGAGAATGATCTGACAGTTTCTCATGAAGGTAAACATATACTTACCGTAAAACCTAGGTATTTATCAAAAGGTAACAAAACATATGCCTACAGGAAGACCTATGCATTATATATTCATTGCAGTTTTATTCACAATAGCTTATTAAAAGTAGAAATCCAAATGTTTTCCAACTAGAGGATGAACGATCAAAATGTGATATATCAATATAATATATTATTCAGAAAAAAGAGGTACAGAAAAAAAGTACAGATAAAAGCCATAATGTGGGCAACCTCAAAAGTATTATTGAAAGTAAAGGAAGCCAAACATAAAAGACGAAGCTTGATGTGATAGTACACATCTGTATTCCTAGCACTGAGGAGGCAGAAAGATGGCCAAGCTAGGCTACGTAGTGAGACCTTGTCTCGAAGAAACAACCCTGTATATTTCATGATCTTATTCATATGATTATCTAGAAAAGGCAAAACTTCAGGAACACAAAATAAATCAGAGGTGGCAAGGGATAGGAGCTACGTGACTTAACAATAAATAAAAATTAAACACTCGTAATTAAAACTTACTACAGTGCAACGACCAGAGAAATTGAAAAAAGTATCAAGACCATGTCTTCAGGCATCTGACCAAGAACTGACAATAATTTCTCTGGTCTTGGCTGAGGAAGCAATAAATGAAAAAAATATCATTGTACAATTCACCAATAATATGTAAAATATCTCCTCTGTCATCATTTGAGGACCAAATTGTATGAAAATGTTAGTATGTACAAATCAAAATATCAGTTTCTAAGAAAGAATTCTGGACAAAAATCCAGAATCTTAAAAACACTAGGCCAAAATGTTCCATTTTTTAGGAACTTGTTGAAATGGCAACCATCATCAAAGATTCTTTAAATGTTTACATGCAAAAACTTTAGAAAAACAAATTTATATTTGCAATATACAGGATGTATGACACAAAAAAGTGATCTATTAAATTCATGTGTAGATGTAATCTTTAATTCGTTATATATTTATTGTTCATGAAGACATAACCAGGCAGTTCAATTTAATTTTAGTACAGCAAATCTTATCTGGACAAGATTTTAGTTGCATTTTTTATACTACAAGTAGGACATTCTATTATCAATTAACTATAAATGTGTAATCACCCTTTAGTGACAAGTTTACATTATTAACCAAAAAGAACCTCTTTGAACTTAACAAACTACAATACATTCAGAGATGAAACCCAGTAGTGTTTTGATATCTATTAAAACTTCCTCAGTATGATATACAAATTTTAAATTGTCTCCTTAAAGTAAGGTACAGATTTTTTTTTCTGATTCTAATTCCCTTTTATCCTATCCTCTCACTATCAGGTTCTTTGTGAATGAAATGCTTAACATAATAAAAAGTGAAATGTTTGTTATCAATACTATTACTGAAAAGAAATCATAAGAGAATTAAGGGGATTTATTTAACAGAAAATGTCAAAATATGAACAATTGTGGAACTATCCTAGTCACTGTCTTTGCATCCCAATGCTCATGAATTCCATTCTAGCTAATGACAATTTATGTAGTTCTGAATCCTTCTCTAATCAAGTGGCAACTATTTTATATAATGGGGAAAAAATAAAACTTAAAGACATTAGGACCAGCTATAAGGACTGAAAGCTCAGCTCATATTGTGTTCTATACACATGTTTACATACACTTTTATGCACACAAATTCCTGTTAAGTAACTCTAGAATTTACAGAAGCAGTACTAGTACCATATTCATTAAAAAGACATTTTAGAAATCTAAGTCGGCATCTTTTTCTTGAAAAAGTTACCATTACTATCCAACATAGAGAATGAGAAAGCATTCTCTGTAAGGCTATATGCAATTAAGAAAGGAAAAAAAAATCTGTGGTTTATCAGAAAAGAGTTTAGAATATGAAGGATTGATTATTGTAAACCATGGATCTTCAGTCTAAGTATCTTCTGGAATTAAATGTCTCACACTTCCAAATATGCTAATCTGACTTTTTTTAAGACTAACATACAATATCCTAAAGATAATAAACTTATTTCTGGAAATAGCTACTGCTCTGGGACCAACAGTCAAAAAACTTCTACTGGAATGCAAAACTTATAGGGAGGTAAAGGGAAGTTGGTGACAAATAATAGAGTTCAAAGTTATTGTTTGAAATAAGCTATAAGGAAAAATTAATATTTTTGTCTGGAATGTGTAAATTTTATGTTCTATTCCACAATATATGCTCATTTTAATACAGAAGTTTCCCAAAACATAGCAGAGTAAAACAGACACTTCCAAAAACCATAGCCTGCTTTTAGATCCTCCTGTCATCTGTCATAGTGTCACATATGGAAGACTGAGTATCAGAAAGCTGGGATAATTTGGTAAAAGGCTCACTATTACACAGAACTGAAACATGTGTTGTGACATTTTAAGCATGTAAACATTTAACTATGTACTACATAAAAGTTACTGTTTATTTCTCTGATGGATTTCATAGTACCCACTCCACAGTACTAAATTTTCTAAAACTTAGAAAATCAGAATAGTATTATGTTTGGTTAACACAGTAATTCTGTTCCTCCTCTTTCATTCTGCAGTTTTTCCACTAATATAAAGGACCAATTTTCCATGCATTTCTACTTATCTATTTTAACTCAAGGCAGTCTCAATAAATCTATATTATGTAAAAATATAAAACAAAGTACAAGAAACTTTATAAATATAATGACACTTTCCTACTAGATAGTCCCATACCTGCTATCATGTCTTCTACAGCACGCATTTTCAGCAATACTTGTTCAATCAACCCAAATTCTGTGCTAGTCTGTAAATTCCAAGCACTTATTCATACAATGGCTGCAAACTTGCTCCATGATTTCTACTTGACATGTTACACCACAGTGCCACAAAAAACTCTGTTGTGCACGTTATACTCTCAGCATCCTGGATAATAAAGTTCATCTCCAAATCAAATTCTCCACCAACCAGCTGAAAGCAAACAGAAAAAAAACCCAAAAAAACAGTAACTAGTGACAATTCAGATGGTTATTTACAGCAATAAAACAAAAGAATAAAAATTCAACTAGCAAAACCACAAAGCTACTATAAACATTTCAAGTCATGTGGTGAAAAACTCATTTTGACCCAAAATTTAAGAGCAATAAATGAAATAACTAAAACTAGCAAACAGGAATACATTTCCCACAAACATGGAAAAGAGTGATTTCAAATCCAGAAGAACAGAGCAAACTATGGTATATGATTACTGGGTGTAATTCAGAGAAAATACCTTAAAAACAGGGTTGTCCTGTAAAAGTGATAATCAGTAGAAAATACAGAGTTCACTAAGTATCAATTTTAAGATGAGGTTAATTTTCTTCTTTGGTATTACTAGACATCCAGAAAAAGAGATTACCACAAAAAATAGCTAGGTCTAATCTCCACATATTGAAGATACAGAAATATGAAACTGATACTAGCACAAACCATTGTAAATATTGAAATGATGGAATGAATGTTAAAAAACAAGTTGAAGAGAAAAATATGTAAAACCTTACAGTACTATATTTAAAATGTGAATTAAGTAAAGAAAAATGGTATAACAGCAACATTTGATGTGGCACTATAGCAAATGTATCAAACGTTATTTTTCTTTCCCTAGGAATAACTATAGAAATGCTGTATGTGCATATATATATATATATATATATATATATATATATATGTGTGTGTGTGTGTGTGTGTGTGTGTATACATATATATACGTATACTCACATGTATAATGAAATAGTAGGGTGATTCCTACCTCATGTTTTTTTTGTTGTTCAAACATTTTTAAGTTATTCTTTGCCTTTTATATCAGTTTTAGAATTATTTACATCTATAAAAATGTTGAGATTTTTAAGAGTTGTATTGAACTAATTTATCAATTTGTGAGAGATTCAATATGTTATCTGTTTTGAATCTTCCAATCTGTGAGCCTTTCTATATTCATTTACATCTGTGATTTCTTTAATCAACATTTTAGGGTGTTACACGCAGGTCTTGTACAACATTTGTCAAATTTATACAAACAATTAATTTTTTACTGAATATATTTTTAAATATTGGTTTTCATGTGTTCATTCCTAAAATAGAGAAATATAATTAATTTTTATATGTTCATCTTGTACCATGATCTTGCTAATTAACCTAATAGTACCAAAACTGTGTTTTGTACATTCTTTGTTTTTACCTTTTTTGCTTTTATTCATTTTATTTATCCTCTCCCATCTTGCTTTGTATTATATAATCACTAATACTTTTTTATATATTCCTACTTAATCATATAAGTATCTGAGCTCCTTTATTTTCGGTCTTTATTGGGGGTGTTCGTGGTGTTTCCAATTGACTTTTACTGCACATAAATATCTAGTTTGTCTTTTAGTTGTTATTACTGTAGTCTGCTTTCTCTTCTCAAATAGAGGTTTCAAAAGAATACTAAGCAATAAGAAGACTCACAAATAAAAGTGAAGGAGGAACCCATCCCAACACCTGTACAAGCCAAAACATAATAGCACCAAACACATGACAAAGAAAGGAAGTATGATTCCTCTACATTCCATAACACAGCAAAAAACCTGTTCTAAATTACTGAAAATATCTGATACACTAGAAAACAATTCAAAAGTATAGTTTTATTATTATTGTTATTGTTATTGTTGTTTGGTGGTACTAGGTTTTGAACTCAGGGCTTTATGCTTGCTAGGCAGATTAAGAAAATGTGGTATCTATACACAATGGAATTTTATGCAGCCATGAAGAAGAATGAAATGTTATCATTCGCTGGTAAATGGATGGAATTGGAGAACATCATTCTGAGTGAGGTTAGCCTGACCCAAAAGACCAAAAATCGTATGTTCTCCCTCATATGTGGACATTAGATCAAGGGCAAACACAACAATGGGATTGGACTTTGAGCACATGATAAAAGCAAGAGCACACAAGGGAGGGGTGAGGATAGGTAAGACACCTAAAAAATTAGCTAGCATTTGTTGCCCTCAATGCAGAGAAACTAAAGCAGATACCTTAAAAGCAACTGAGGCCAATAGGAAAAGGGGACCAGGAACTAGAGAAAAGGTGAGATCAAAAAGAATTAACCTAGAAGGTAACACCCACGTACAGGAAGTCAATGTGAGTCAATGCCCTGTATAGCTATCCTTATCTCAACCAGCAAAAACCCTTGTTCCTTCCTATTATTGCTTATACTCTTTTTACAACAAAATTAGAAATAAGGGAAAAATAGTTTCTGCTGGGTACTGAGGGGGTGGGGGGGAGAGGGAGGGGGTGGAGTGGGTGGTAAGGGAGGGGGTGGGGGCAGGGGGGAGAAATGACCCAAGCCTTGTATGCACATATGAATAATAAAAAAAAAGAAAAAAAAAGCTGAGAAATGGCTTTTAGGCTCATTGGGAATCAAAAAAATAAATAAAATAAAAATAAAAATAAACTACAAAGGAAGCATCTAAAGTACAACAAATTCAATTATACATTCATCCCAAATATTACAGAAAATCCCAAAAATGGAAACCAAAATTAACAAATATGTTGAGTTTATATAAAAATTACATTGCAACAAGCAAATGTTTATAACATTATAAAATTGGATTCTAACAGACAGATGTTTACAATGAGATATAAGCTCAGCAGAAAAACAGAACTTCTGCTATTACCCAATGAATTACTGAGGTCTAGGCACAAAAGACCTTTTCTAGATCTCCATGAAATATCTATCTGCTAGACAGCTATGTGCATAGGTTTCACTTAATGTTTTAATTCATAAATTAATTGTGTCAAGGGAATTCTTTTATAAGGCCTCCTTTGAAAAGGAACTCAATTTATAAACACAGTTGATCAGTGCTAGGATCTGCACTCAGATATTACATTCTCATCAAAGTTCTACTGAGACTTGCTAAGAGAGACTGCATCTGGTCCCTAATCACTACAAGACAAATACAAAAATACTTGGCACCAAATACATATATACATCTGATAATTCTCTTACACATTCATTTCATAGGAACTAATCAATGCTAAACTTTTAATCTTGGTTTCCTGGCTGTGGATATTAGTCTACTAGAACTCCTTATATTCTTAAACCTATGTAACAGTCTGGTATTCCACTACATTAATTGTATTTTAGGTATGGAATGAAGATAATTTCAGCCCAAGGACACTCTACCCAACAAAACTATTATACAAAATGACAAGAGCAATAACAATCTTCCATGAAAAACAGAAAGTAAAACAAAACATGACCACCAAGTCACCACAACAGCACATTCTACAAAGAATTCTGCACACAGAAGATGAAAGCAAACAAAACCACAGGAAGACAGGAAGTGCCAAACCACAGGAGAAGAAAAGACAAGTAATCAGACAGTAGCACTGATTGAGCTGCACACAATCAAATCCTTAAACAACAAAACCTAAATGGCAGGAATCACCACAATACTTATGAATATTAACACTGTATGTCAATGGACTCAACTCCCCCATCAAAAGACATCATTTGGCAAACTGGATTAAAAGGGCAGAACCGATCATCTGTTATTTACAAGAGACACATCTTATTGACAGAATAAAAAATGGGCTTAGGGGTGAAAGGCTGGCAGAAGATTTACCAAGCCAATGTCCCTGAAAACAGGCAGAAGTACCAATATTTGTATCAGACAAAGCAGACTTCAAACTTACATTGATCAAACAAGACAAGACAAACACTGCACATTACTAAAAGGGGCAGTACATGAAAAGGATGTAACAATTATCAACCTATATGCATCCAATGTCAGTGCACCCAATTCCATCACACATACACTTAAGGACTTAAAAGCACACATACACTCCAACACAGTGGGAGTGGGAGACTTTAATATCCCTCAACCACCAACAGGTAGGTCACCAAAACAAAAAATCAACAAAGAAATACTAGAACTAAATGACACCATAGATTAAATGGAACTAACTGATGTCTACAAAATATTTCATACAAAAACATCACAATATACATTCTTCTCAGCAGCCCATGAACTTTTTCCCAAAATACATCATATCTTAGGGCACAAAGGAAATGTTAACAAATATAAGAAAATAAAAATAACCCCTTGGGCTATATCAGATCACAATGAAATAAAACTAGAACTCAACAACAAAAACAACAGCAGAAAATACACAAATAACTGGAGGCTGAATAACACATTGCTCAAGGATCAGTGTGTCACAGAGAAATAAAAGAGGAAGTCAAAAGGTTCCCAGAAGTTAATGAAAATGAAAATACCACCTACCAGAACCTATAGAACACAGCAAAGGCAGTCCTGTTTATACCCATGAGTGCATACATTAAAAGGACAGAAAGATTTCAAATAAACGACCTAATGCTATGTCACAAATTCCTAGAGAAAAAAGAACAAGCACAGCCCAAAACAAGGAGAAGGAGAGAAATAATAAGGTCCGAAATTAATGAAATAGAGACAAAAAAAATACAGAGAACCAACAAAACAAAAGTCTTCTTCATTGAAAAAATAAACAAGATTGACAAACTCCTGGCAAATCTGACTAAAATGAGGAGGGAAAAGACCCAAATTAGTAAAATCAGAAACAGAAATGGGGAAATAATAACAAACACCAAGGTAATCCATGGCATGATCAGAGACTACTTTGAGAACTGATATTCCAATAAATAGGAAAATCTTGACAAATTTCTGATATGTATGACCATCCAAAACTGAACCAAGATGATGTTAACTACCTAAACAGATCTATAACACGGAATGAAATTGAAGCAGCAATAAAGAGTCCCTGCCAAAAAAAGCCTAGGACCTGACAGACTGTGCTGAATTCTACCAGACCTTTAAAGAAGAACTAATACCCACACTCCTTAAACATTTCCACAAAATACAAGGGGGAGGAACACTGACTAACTCATTCTATGAAGCCAGCATTATACTCATCCTAAAACTGGACAAGGGCACATCCAAAAAGGAGAATTTAATGAACAATGATGGAAAATCCTCAATACAATAATGGGAAACTGAATTCAACAACATATCAGAAAGATTGTTCACCATGACCAAGTCAGCTTCATCCCAGGGATGTAGGGATGGTTCAACATATGCAAACCAATAAATGTAATACAGCACATTAATAGAAGCAAAGACAACAATCACTTGATCATCTCAATAGATGTAGAAAAAGACTTAGATAAGATCCAACACCATTTCATGATAAAAGCTCTAAGAAAACTAGGAATAGAAGGAATGTACCTCAACATTATAAAGGCTAGATATGACAAACCTATAGCCAACATCATACTTAATGGAGAAAAAATGAAACCATTCCCCTAAAATCAGGAATGAGACAAGGGTGCTCACTCTCCCCACTCCTATTTAACACAGTCCTGGAAATCCTAGCTAAAGCAGTAAGGCAAGAAAAAGAAATAAAAGGAATACAAATAGGTAAAAAAATAGTCAAAGTATCCCTATTTGCAGATGACATGATCCTATACCTCAAAGACCCAAAAAATTCTGCCCAAAAACTCTTGGACACCATAAACAGCTACAGCAAAGTGGCAGGATACAAAATCAACTTACAAAAATCAGTAGCCTTTCTATACATCAACAATGAACTGAGAAAAGTTAGAGGAAAACTACTCCATTTATGATAGCCTCAAAAAAAAAATCAAATACCTAGGAATAAACATAACAAAGGACATAAATGACCTCTACAAGGAGAACTACAAACCACTGGAGACAGAGATTGAAGATTATAGAAGATGGAAAGATCCCCCGTGCTCTTGCATTGGCAGAATCAACAGTAAAAATGACTATACTACCAAAAGTGATCTACACATTCAACACAATTCCCATCAAAATCCCAATGACATTCATCACAGAGATGGAAAAAATCTACCCTAAAGTTCATTTGGAAACAGAAAAGACTGCAAATAGCCAAGGCAATACCGAGCAAAAAAAGCAAGTCTAGAGGTATCACAATACCAGACTTCAAACTATATTACAGAGCCATAGCAATAAAAACAGTGTGGTACTGGCAGAAAAACAGATATGAAGACCAGTGGAACAGAATAGAGGATCCAGATATGAATCCACACAGCTATGCCAAAGGTGCCAAAAACACACGATGGAGGAAAGGAAAGGAAACCTAAAACTTGAATGTGGAGTATGCTCACTGCAGAGGAGCGAATATAGTAATCTTAAATTGGCAGAGGCCACTACGGGAAGGGGACTAGGAAATACTGAAGAGGTGTAGTAGAGATGAACCAATGTGTGTTGTAACACACATGTGCATGGAAGCAAAGCTAGGAATCTCTCTATATACCTATCTTTATCTATAACTAGCAAAAATGCTATGTCTTTCTTAATACCACTTATGTTCTCTCTTCAAGAAAATCAGAGGACAAAAGGCAGAACAGGTTCTGGCTGGAAGCAGGGTGGGGGGATGGCTAAACAATGTATACACATGCAAGTAAATGTAAAAACAATAAAATAAAAAAATAAAAATAAAACTAGTGCATTTGCTTTCAGAGTTCCAAGGGACACATGCCATATACCCCAACAGCTTTGGGTTAACTCAACCCTCTAAAAAGACATTATCTACCTCCCATCCTGGCAAGCATTTCGTCTTCCAACACAGTCTTACTGTGACTTGTCCTCCAATTTCAGCTTGAGTTACCTAGTAATAATAAGAAATTCAGGTATAAATAGAGATGTTGCTGATTACCTGTACAAGAAGCTGCTAACCTCCCTTATCCATCAGATCAGTGAGACCCCACTTAAGCCCCTAATCAGTATTCCCAACAAAGTAATATAAAGTGATCCTGCAAAGGCCTTCCACAATTCTAAATGCTGAGTCACCAAGGATGCAATCCACAAGGGTGTCACCTGAAATAATATGTACGACACTTGAATGATAAGGAACAAAAATACATGTATGTTTTGGATATGGAGCTAAGCAATTTTTTTAAACTTTATATAGTACTCGACCCCTAAACAATTGAGAAAATAACTTGAAGATTTCACCTCTACATAACGCAATCACTGAAAATCAGGCATTTTGAAATTTGCAGTGAAGACAGAAACAAGTATCTGCCCCCACAGTTCAAAATATACTCAAGCATCATCATTACAGACTAATAAACTTACTAACAAAGAGTGTGTAAAAATGATGCTATAGAAAATTTAATTACTCTAATCATGCAGCAGGTCTGGACTCTTTCTGGAGGAAAAGTATAAAACAAGCATAATTAAGTGAAATGAGTAAAAAACATCCTAAGGGAGTATTTTAGAAAAGGTTAATTCTTGTGGCCTACATGAGCACATCCTAGGAACCTAACTGGGAGTCACAGGAGATTGAGAAAAGACAAGAGACAAACATGCAAAAAAGCTGGGATCAGGTGGGCTGGGTGCACTGGTAGAGACACACAACAACCTCCATCACCTGCAGCAAGTATTATATACAGCAACAAACATGGAAGTAGTTATTGGGGATAGGGAGAACCTGTGATAGCTACTCTCTGCCCGTAAACACCTTATGAAAAGCAGCTGTGATGCATTTTGCCCTCGCCCCCTTCTGCAGATGGGGGCTGTACCAATCACAGCTTGTAGATAATTGGAAAGAGCTGTGCTCAATCCCTTCTGCAGCTGGGGGCTGTGCCAAACCCAGGTTGCAGACATGGCTGTGCTTATATCAAGTACTCATAGGCTTCTCATACTCCACTTTTCAGAGTTAATGACGACCCAACCGTCTTTCTAGATAAAATATAACAAAAATGATAGTCTACTTTCTATTATTTCTATTTTGGTTTGCCTAAATAGTTTCACTGCAAAGATAGTTTCATTATTAATTTATCATTAAGAAAAGGCAAATAAGCAACTATCAATGCAAAGTACCACTGGTACATTCTTTCAGGAAAAAATTTTCTAAATAAAGGAAATATAATTGGATAAGCTGTAATCTAATAAAATATTTTAAATGAGATTCAAAACCTAATTGTTAATAAAATTCTATCCATATAGCAACCTTCACAAGAGAAACAATCATTGTTAGCAGGTATTGATTTCACTTCTTTTGCCAAGTTAGCACAATCATGTTATTTTTAAGCCAGGTGCATTAAAAGGATGTAATAAAATTTAGATAATCTATTTACAGTGGTCATGTTCTTCTGAATATACAATCATAGTCAGGCACTGGTGGCTAACACTTAAAATTAGCTACTCAGGAGGCTAAGATCAGGAGGATCATTGCTTGAGATTAACATGGACACAAAGGTTGAGAGACTCCATCTCAACCAACAACTGGGAATGGGAGTGTCTAGATATGTGAGAGGCTGAAATCAGAAGGGTCACTGTTCCAGATCATCCCAGAAAAATTCACAAGTCCCTGACTCAACAAAAAAGCTGGGCACTGTAGCAAACACATGTCATGACAGCTACTGGAGGAACCATAAAGAGGAGGATCACAGCCCATGCTGGCCTAGGCAGAGTGAGAACATATCTCAAAAATAACAAAATAAAAAGGGCTGATGGCATGACTGAAGTGGTAGATACCTGCCTAGCAAGTGCAAAGCCCTGAGTTCAAATCCCAGTACCACCAAAACAAGAAAAAAATCAGAAAATACACACTAGTCAAAGGACTTTACTCCACTTGTAATTGTGTGGGGAAATATGGACAATATTTGGACAATTATGTGGGGAAATATGAACAATGAAATATTCAAATTTTCTAGGTAATTTTGTTGCTTTATGATAATAGTACTAATTAAGACTCCACCATGTACCATTTAACCATAAGGGAACTGATCAATTATGAAGGGGCTATAAAATTCAAGTTAATGACTGGAATATTTGCAGTTAGCCAAACTAAGTGTTAAGAAAAAAAACATGAATTATGTTTACTAAATAAATTAAAGAGTTAAAAGCTTTCATAGCATAAGAGGAACATTAAAAAAGGACACAATTAATGACATGAGGAGCCTTAAAGCATGATAGGATTGTTGACATATGTGATTTATCAAATTCCCTAAAGTTTTATAACATATTCCATCAGTCTACCAAACAACCTTATCAATCACAATTAAAAATTAATGTTCAAATTGCATTAGTCACAGAAAAATTAAAAGATCGCTTCCCTAGGAAAATATGTAGATACTTACAAAAATTCATTTAAGTGATCACTTGAAATTCATTTTTAGTTTATAAAATTTATCCTAGCTCAGGATGACACCAAAAATAAAGTGATTCTAAAGCATTCCATTATAGCTCAGAGAACTCTGCAGTCAGGTTTTTAGGATTAGAACTCTTTTCATCTCCTTATTAACACTATGATCTTGAGAAAGGTAATCAATTTCTTTCATCCTCATCAGCAGCAGAATATAATTATATGAGCTAGCATAATTTAAATATTTTTATTAGAATATCATTTATCACTGATATTTCCTTTATATTTTTCAGGGAGAATGAAGTGCTGACACTGAACAGTCACATAAGGTTATGGGGCTTTTGAAAAAAATGACTAAGTTGGTAATGAAAGTTTCTTTTTAAAAGTGGAACCTAGACATAATAGTAAGTACTCAGTTGATATGTACTACTATTTTTTTCTTCTTGGGAGGCACTGGAGTTTGAACTCAGGGCCTCACACTGGCTAGGCAGTTGCTCCAATACTACAGCAACTCTACCAGCCCTTTTTGTGTTGGTTACTACTTTTGATATAAGGTTTGGCTTTACTGGGCTGGCCTAGATCACAATCCACTATCTGTGCTTCCAGCATTGATGGGAATGCGTGCCACCATACCCAGCCATTGGGCTGTGAAGGTGTTTCCATGAACTCTGCCTGGGCTGGCCTCAAACTGCAATCCTAATCCTAATCTCTGCTACTCTCCCAAGTAGCTACTATTACAGGCATGAGCCATAGCACTGCGCATTCATGTACTACTTCTACATCCCCAACATCTAAGATCAGATATTTCACAATGGGACAGTGTTTGAACTAAAAGACCACTTACCTACTGCACCATACTGTTTCTGATAACATCTCTCAGTATACTTTTGCTTGATATACAGAAAATAATTTCTATATTACTCCAGAGAATTTTTTTCCAAAGCAAAGTTTTCCTAAGACACACAATGAGGAACGCTTGTTTTGTTTGATATTGCCTACCAAATTTAACTGCATATGTTCTTTTTTAAAAAAAGTTCAACGTAAAAAGGTTATGTTACTCGCAAACAATGTATATGTTTCTCCAATTCAATGGAAAATGAAGTTTCTATTTAACTTATTGTGTCATTCCCAGATAAAAAATATGAAAGAAATTGTCACTTTAGGATTGAACTTAAGCTTCTTGAATAAGTTAATTAATTACTTCATCATTTTTAGTCATTAACTATCAAATGTCTAGTTTATGTTTGCTATCAATATTCATGGGACTGAGTAGGATCAATCAATGTAATATAAAGTAATATTGGACCCCAAAGAATAAAAGAACATCTAAATACACTGAATCATTTCAGAGAATTACTACAGATGACCAAGAGTAATTATAAACAGGATGGATTCCAACCATACCACACTTTGGCCTTTACTTATTGAAAAACAGATCACTTAAAAAATAAGGTATGTGTTGCCACAAGGTATTTCACTCACCTCAGCAGTATTTATTTAATAATTTGTTGCTTACTAATTTTGTGTCATGATAAAGGCTAACTATGGTTTTTGTTTTTGTTTTTTAAAGCAATAAACAGCATTGCTCCCGGAGATTTAAATTTTGTAGGGGAAATCAAGTCCAATAAACACCCAAAGAGAAATTGTCTTAAACCCTTCAAGTTTCTCTGAATTGGTGCTGATTTCCACACTTCAGTTAATACACATGCCAATTCTAAATCACCGTATCTAGAAAATTAGTAGTTTGGAGCTCATAAAAATTAAATTATAAAATCAAACAATATTATACAGAGATAAAAGATGTAATTTATTGAAAGAATTTGATTAGACAAAGTGACTTAGCTGTAAAGGAATATCCTGCAAATTCTGCCCCATTACTGTCATTCATTTTTACAATAACTACACAATGCTTGTGAATGTGGCCATACAACTATTCTCACTGGGCTGAAAGTTCACAATTGACACTGACAATAGATGTTTTTTCCTAGGACTCATAGATTTTTCACCCCATACATCTACAGTTCCTTGACAAGGATACACAACGAACCCTCACAAAGACCTCTCCTTCCCCAACAGCTCGCTCCTCCACAATACCATGTCCACAAGTTCTTGCTGTTTCAATAATACTGAATTCTGACCTCAAGCTCCTGAACTCAGCAAGATTACCCTGCTGTGTCAGGTCAACTCCTGGTACCTCAATAAAAATGCTGGTTCCAGTCAGAGAGCCAGATAAACATGGGCTCATCTTAAATGTTTTCTTGCTCTCAAGAATCTCAGACCTGTACTAACTGCACTGATCAATGCTGTTTTACACATTTTCCCCAGGTTTATAATTATTTATAAGGGTAGGCATATAGCCCATATCAGTTACTCCATCAATTGCCAAAAATCAGAAGTCATAGAAAGTGCTTCTAAACTGAACCAAGCAGAAAGACTGTGAGTGAATAGTGGGTTTTAAAAGAGGGGTTTTTTGGTTTTTTTTTGCAAATTCTAGTTACTATCCCCTTAGGAAAAAGAAACCAATTAAAGGGCACCAGTGAATCAATTTTAAAAAGCACATTACTATCACTTATATGAATTCATGAGAGGTAACTGAGGAAACCAGATTCTTATCCAATGAAGGGAAAAATATCATATAAAGACTTCCAAAATAAACTTAAAAACTAAATGAGCCTGGCTGTAACACTATCTTCTCTATGAAGCATTTCCTGGTGCATTACTACAATGACAATACTTACCCCACCCCACCCCACCCCCACCATGATCCCACCAAATTTAGTAATTAT